CTATCTTCCAATCATAACTTTTTTAAGACTGAATAATACTTTATTATAATACTACTACTTTATAATAATGGTAATAATCTTGTATGATAGTGAAACAAGGAGAGGAAAATTACCTAGTAGTCTTTCTTTTATGGTCCCTCATTTTAGCAGTTGTGAAGTTTACCACGTATCACCTAAGTTGGGGTTCTTATTCCAAGCCCCTTGAACTTCTTTAAGTATTTTCATGGAATATTTTACCTTAGACTTTTACCTCCAATCATATCTACTGTTTTGGGGGTGGGGAGGACAGAAGGGAGTTGAGGCAATATACTTAAATATACTGAAAGATCATTTTCCCATGTTCAGAAGAAGTACAATTAACCTTTCTGGAAGAGTTGTGTAAGGATTTAAGAGGTAGAAGGTAAAACTAGTCATATGTTTGGTTTGCTTTATAGAGATTGATTATTGGCCTTATTTGGTTACTCTGAGTTCAGAACAAGTATATTTACCAATCACCTTCCTGTGCTTTAGTTGACAGAAGTTGTTTGATTACAGAGGCATTCGTTTTTAATAGATAAACCAGTTAGAAAAGTGGAAATATAAAGTGAACACATGGTTGATCTGTGATAAAAGGCTACCTGTTGAGTCAGGCTTAATTGTGCTTAGTAAACCAAACACTGCTTATGTTTCTATTTCATTGCTAGAAATAATTTGTACTTTTCAAAGAAGAAACTTGCAGACCACAGATGGCTCAGTGCATGCCTTTCATGTAAAACCCTGGATCCCATCCCTGCACTGAAGTGGTGGGGTGGGGGGAGAGGATACATGTCAAGCAGTTGCTTAAGTTATTTGAATTTTTTCTTGACGACCCATTTTATTAAAAGGTAAAACTTTATTAGGGTTCGTGTCCCATAGGTGAAGAAGTGTATTTAATATAAACATCAAAATGCTACAGCACAGTCCCTCTGCTCACAGCCACTGCAACTACAGAATGGGGACAATGAATCCAGTGCCGTTCATCAGTGCCATTAGAAAAGCACCCCAAGTTTTACCTAGGTACACCTAGAAAGGGCTTCTGGGGCTCGAAGGGGGGAGGTGGGACTGTATCTTTCATTTTCCAGAATGAAAGATAGTACTAGTTTTCATGGTGCTCGCCCAGGCCCCAAGCCCCAGAGAAACCCCTTGTTTCTGGCTCCCTGAGGGATCAGTCTGTTGTTCACTTCTGTCCAGTTCCTCTCTTGTCCCTCAGCTCCTGATGGCAGCATCCTTCATGGGCCCTGTTATTTCCAGAGTCCTCTCCAAACCCCAGAGCTCAGCCACTGACCCACCCACCCTGAATTTCAGTGCAATAAGGGTAAATTTTTCCTAGGGAACATAATATGCAATTGCCGTTCCCAGTCTTAAAGCCTTGTATTATCAATTTCAGTGTTTACTCCCATTACAGAGGCTTGATATTTGATAACTCAGAACTAGTGTGAAAATCCTTCCAAACTGGTAAAGTAGAAGCCATATTCTTAGGACACATAAATGAAAGGACCAACTAGAAAGAATAGTTTGTAGATATTTCTGAGGTTGCCTTCAAAATTCCATGAATCTGTAATTGACTTTGTCTGAAAGTCCTTAAAGGGGAGTAAGTCTGAAGTTGAAATGTTAGGTCCTAGAAAATACAGTGTAAAGTTATATTTTAAATTGTTTGTCCTTCATCGTTCTTCTCAGTGGTGAGAATAACTTCAAGTTTTGCAAGCTGCTTGATAGAACCTCATAATACTCAAGTTTAGTCTTTTAATCGAACCACAGTGATGTCATTGCAGATGTTAGCATTTATTCATTCTACTCCACTTAGTTTTCCCATGGGGGGGGGGGGGTGTTTGTTCTCATCAGTTTGTTTTTAGCTCCTACCACTTTGTATTGGCTTACTGGTCAAAGATGGAAGACTATTTTAAATGGATGATCATGTTAATTGTCTTTCGGCGTTTTTTCTTGTGGTTGGTTTGGTTTGGTTTGGTTTGGTTTGGGGCCACACCTAGCTGGTGTCCAGGGTTTACTCCTGGCAGGATGAGAACCATACGGAGTTTCAAGAATTGAACCTGGGTCGACCATGTACAAGGCTCTACCTGTTATACCATCTCTGACCCAATACTTAAAATTGTTTAAATTAGATTAAATGTACATCTTCAATTTTTTCAGTCACATTGAACTGATACTTTTCATCTAAATATGAATTAAGACTAAGAAAGAAGTGATGTGGAACTTCCAGGAGCTATATTCATTTTACTTCAATAAAAACTTTTCAATGTCTCTGATCCCTTTTCCACATACCTGATAGTTGTGTATAGATTTCTGCAGCTTTTTTTTCACTGTTTTAGAGGTAATTGGGATATTTACCATCAGAATGTAAGCAAGTCCGCTATCAGAAGTCACCAGACTAGAGAGACTTGGAGGGAGTGACCCTTTGATCTTAATCAGCCCAAGCCATCTGGCAGGACCTTCATTACAGAAATAGTAGATCTGAAGTGTTGTCACTGAATTTCACAGAAATACTGGGTCGTAGTCAAAGGGCCTCTAATAGTCACTGGACCACACCTCTATTCCACTTTTGCCCTCCTAACAAAAGACTTGGAACCAGTATGCCATAGAGTCTGGACTACCTAATGTTCATGGCCCCTATTCTTATTTGGGGATCATTTTCAGATAATTCTCCAGTAGCATTTCAAATAAAATATACTAAGTTTTTTTTCACATGATAAATGGCTTATTTATTGTGAAGCAAAAACAGTTCAAAGTCTACTCCTTGAATGTTTTTCAAATAGTTTGATGATGGTAAGTGCCTTGTTGCTTATTAAAGATTTTCTGCACGTCGATGTAGGAATGGGGCCAGCCAGGGAGTTGGTAATTAGTAATTAGCATCTAACCAAAGACTTGGTTAATAGCATGTTATCACCATACCTCAGTTAGTGTTTGGAGTATCTGTCCAGAGTCCAAAAGCTGTTAATACTATTTCCAAGGAGGTATCAACTTGTTTACATTATAATTGAGTCCATTAACAGAGCTGGTTAAATTCTAAACTACATAACCAACAGAAATTATTGATCTGGTAGGGATTTCAGTAATAAAATCTAGGGCCCATGATAGCTTAGAATGGCTGAGTTCCATGCCAGTAGTGAATTTTCCTTAGCCTCCACTATTGTATGGTGTATGGCTCTGAATCCTGTCTTGGGAGGCCCCTTTAAAAAGAAAAATGAGTCAAGGCATTGTAGGAATAAATCAAAAAGAAAGAAGTGATTTTAGGTATAAATTGCGAAATTAGAAGTGAAAAATAAATGAAAATCAAGTATATTTGACTTAGCAGTCTCGAATTTATCTTTGTTTCTTTTAAAACATAGAGATGTAATATTTATGGATATGAATGCTGAGTTTTGTGAAGTTTACTTGTTTGATATTAAATGTACAAAACAAGACTGTTTTCACACTCCTTTTCTCTCCTAGGTGGACTTCGAGGGGTAGCACGAGGTGGTCTAGCAGGACTAACACTTACCAGCCTCTATGCACTATATAATAACTGGGAGCACATGAAAGGTTCCTTGCTCCAGCAATCTCTCTGAAGATTTTGCCAACTCATGGATGGAGGACACTTTAGTCATTCACGTCAACTTCTAAGTCAGTCTGGAGTTACTCTTTTACCTACAATTAGTTTGAAAAAAAAAAAAACGGAAATTCTGATTTGCTACATGAAGATCATGGATAGCTGACCAGGACTGGCATTCCTTCCAGCCATTATGAGTTGAAACCAAAACACTCTGGTGGCTGAGTAATGTGGTTCTCTTCTCCTTTGGAGAAAGTGTTTTATCTACTCTGTCTTCTATACCCCTGGAGCTAGAAAACCACTTACCAAATTCCGGTCACGCTTGTTATATGGATACTGTTATCACCATGTTTGCTCATTTAATAATCAAATCTGTAATACCCTGTATTCACAATAAAGGGTGAAAATAGAACCAAAGCCCAACCTAAAAATAAATGGTCTCTCCTTTTAAAAACTGAAGTGAAAGTTATTCTTGACTTTTCAGCATTTTTTGAACCAGAGATTAAAACATTTCAGGTATTAGTGTTGAAATGAGGTACTGAACACTAACATTTTCTCTTTTTTTTTTTGCTTTTTTTTTTGGTGGGGGGTGCACCCAGCGATGCACAGGGGTTACACGCCTGGCTCATGCACTCAAGAATTACTCCTGATGGTGCTCGGGGGCCATATGGGATGCTGGGAATTGAACCCGAGTTGGTCGCGTGCAAGGCAAACACCCTATCCGCTGTGCTGTCACTCCAGCCCCAGACTAACATGTTAAATAGTTGATAGGAACAACCTGAAGATATTTTAGATTGATTATTATTATTAGTGTTTTAGACCAGTTCAAATAATTATTAATAAGCCTTCAGATGAAGCTTAATGAAGAGGAGGCCGAGAGTGCCTTGCACACAGCTGATCCCAGGTTTGATCCCTGGCATCCCCTATTGTCCCCCAGCACCACCAGAAGTGATACCTAAATCCAGAGCCTTAGAATAACTGGGTATATACGCCCAACCCCCCACCCCTCAAAAAAAAGTCTTGACAGAGTTATATCTTAGTCTCCTGTGAAGTACAAGTGCAGTGCAGGTTTACACATATACAAAATGGTGGTTCTTAATGATTAGAAAACATGTTTTGAGGGACACGTAATAAAACATTTGACATAGAAACACTGAATTCTAGCTGGAGATCACTAATAAAAATCAAAAGGAGTCCAGTATTTCACCTGCAAACAAAACAGACTAAAACTTTGTAGGTAAAGGGACTGGAGCAATAATAGAGAGGGTAGGGGATTTGCCTTGCATGCAGTTGGCTCCCGTTTGATCCCTGGCATCCTATATGGTCCCCTGAGCACTGCCAGTAGTGATTCCTGATCACAGAATCAGGAATAACTCCTGAGCATTGCTGGGTGTGGTCCAAAACAAAAAACAACTCTGTAGGAAAAGACTGAAAAGTCTAATTTCAACATTTTCACTATTTGTTGCTAATACAGAATACATAAAATCCACTGGTATTTTAAGACTAAAAATCTCTAAAAAAAAGTAAAAGTTTTTAAAAATCTTCATATATCCACGTTGTTTCTCAGCTTTAATTGGTTCACATATAAGATAGACATTTTGTAAATGGTAGTTTTACAAATAACACACAACAACTATACTTGTTATGCTTTTAATGGAGGAAGATACAAAACACATCACGGAAATGAATGTTGTATATACTCAGCATTGTGTTGTGATTAATGTAAATTTAAGAATATGCTGTCATATCTCAAAACTCTACAAAGTTTCTTAGAACTGAAAATAATGAAAAGGCTCCTTAAATTTTTATTGTTGCGGTGGGGGCTATTTTTTGGAGGCCTCATTGGTGTGTAACATTGTGTAAATGTCAAGTATACAGCTTTATACTTGACATCTACTACATGGTGATTACCAAAACTCTTGTTTCCATTACATACCACATTAATTAAAGTTCTAAATGGAGAGAGTAGAATGCAAAAATAGGATAGTTTCAACTGTAGTTTATGAATTCTAATTTAGTATCTGGCAATAATACTGGGGCTAAAATTTCTCCAAACATAACATGTAGAGTGGCTTGATGGTTTAAAAGCCAGAACAGCAGTAGTTTATCCTTTCAGAGAATTTACAAACATGTTAGTCCTATTTCCCTCCTACAGAGAAACTTTTTAAAGCATGGAAATGACTAAGGATATTGTGAAAACAGTTCATAAAGCTTCAATAAACACCCCAAGGCACAAGTAAGTATTCAATACAGCATGTTCACCAAAAATGTCACTGCATTCTATGTTCAGAGGTATAGGTATGCTTGCAGTGAGAGGACATTTAATTTATCCCTAGTTAAAGCACCAGGTGTTAAGCTTATCCATTTACACAGGATGCACCAATAAACCCCTAGGATAGTGAGATGGTTCAAGTACTCAATTCCCAACATGTCTTGCCTTTTATTTTTGGATTAGTCTGCACTGGGGCTCTCGTCTTGAAGCTATAGGAGGCACTTCTAAAAAAGCGCACCGGAACACTTTTATAAAAAATGTAAAGGAATAAAAAGACTAAATTTGCAGTAGCTAAATTTCTTTCAAAAGAACAAAATAATATAGACTGACACAAGTGAAAATGTCTTAATAGTTATGTCAAAAGTTACCCAAATTAATACACATTTTGATTTTTTAAAAAATCACCTATTTTGCAAGGTTAATTATTTGTGTTAAATATTAAACAAAAGAGTCATATCTACCACTAATGGGAGAAAACCCATTTCAAGGGAAGCATCTAAAGAAAGGAAGCAAAAGGTTAGAGAACTTGAGTAGCTTTAAAATGTATGGATACACCTCAATTACAACACTTTTCTTTTAGTTTTTGGTTTATGGGCCACATGGCAGTCTCGGTTTACTCCTGGCTCGGTACTCTAGCAGTACTGGGGATCCAACTAGGGTTGGCCACGTGCAAGGCAAATGCCTTAAACCCTGTGCTATGTCTCTGGACCCCTAGAACTTTTATTTTAAATAACTACAGTGGTTTAATGTAACAAGCCAATATGAGGAGCCATGGAGGCTTATGAAAAACACCCACTCATCAATATGCTATGTGTCTGATATAGGGTGAATTAATACTTCTGCAAAATGAAATTGAATCATCTCAATATCAACAAACAACCTCTTTTACAAAAGAACTCATAAACTGATGACTATTTCTTTTCACTAGTTCAAAATTGGACAGAAAAGAACTAAGATGACTAGTCAGACCCAGGAACACAATGATTTGGTATGGTGTAATCATTCCGCTCATGGATGTGTGATACTTTGCAGAAAAGTTGCTTGACTGTAGGTCTCCAGTCCTTCACATCTATTTAAGAAAAAAAAAAAAAAAGCTCAGATAAAATCATTACATTGGTTACATTGTAGGATAAAGCAGATTTTCCCTCCCAATGCTCATTTCTTATAAAACTACCAGAATTCACAGATTCTAAAAATTCCCAATGGCTACATCACCTCAAAAGATAACTTTATATTTCACAATGCCTTTTCAGCAATTCTGATTGTTGGGGGGAAATTCTAAACAATAATAGTGCATCTTTTGTCAAAATAATGAATGTAATCAATGTAGAGAAGAGTTAAGTTTAATCATCTGCCTCACAGGCATTGGGAGGGGTGGAGGGGTATATTGGGGTTCTTGGTGAAAAATGAGTACTGGTTAAGGGAAAGGTGTTTGATCATTGTATGACCGAGACTCAAACCTGAAAGCTTAGTAACTTTTCCCACAGTGATTCAATAAATATAAGAAGAAAAAATAAAATTATGGAAAAAAAAGTAAGGTGGAGTTCATGCCCAAGTCAATCAGCTAATCAGTGGCTGAATAAATAGCAGCACTCCTACATTAAAAAAAAAGGTAACATTAAAGTATATCAATTTCATACAGCAAAGTGAAGTGAAATAAACTGTTATGACTCTTCCCACCCTAACTAAATATATACACCATTATTAAGAGTATGTTTCAGTGTGTACAGTATGAATTCGCATACAAGACAAAGCACTTGAGTCTGTACTACTTACAGCAGTAGCATGTACCCACCTGTAGAGGAGTTCGATACAACCACTTTTCTTTATCAACTTTAAGTTGCATGCAGGCAAAGAGATCACAAACTGCTGGGAGGCCATAATGGTCTGCAGGAAAGTTACGTTCCTCCTGTAGAGGTGAGTTAAGTAGCATTTCCTGCAAGACAAAGAGTGGGTTTCTAGATATAGCTGGGAAGTGTGAGACCAACTTAACTCATCTGCCAAACTAGTGTCTAGAAATAACCACTGGGAGCCAAGGGTAGATTCAGCGGCATAGCATTTGCTTTACTTGGATGAAGCCCTGGCATCTCAAAAAATTGGCTGTCCTAATAATCAAGAGCAAAGATGGTAACTGTACCTAGAGATAAAACGCTAGTATTTTTTTGTTTGTTTTCTTTCCTGCAAGATAGAAACAGATTCTCATATCATTCCGTTGCTAGCATGGCACCAAAATTAGTAATTCATTGGAACTTTAACATGTAACATTTTCTGGATCTGGCCAATTTGCAAGATTTGGGAATAAAGTAAAAATCTAGTAAATACATTTTAAATGATGCTACATTGATGTCTCTGCTCACCTTGGCCTTCTTTCTCAGCAGCCACTTATCTTCTCCTGAAGATAACTGGTTGAGGTTTCCTGTCTTCTTTCCTGGCAGGACCCAGTCAGCCGTATTAAAGGGACACCAAGAAGTGGCCATGGGGCTCAGAAGCTTTTGTTTGCCATCTCTGTCCTCAGCACTGGATGCGACTTCCTGGGGGTGTCGATCTTTGCATGAGGGCCTGGTGAGCCATCCTGACAAAGGACTGTTTCTAATCACTTGGAAAGAATCAGCAATTCTAGAAGGAGCCAGGGCCTTTGGTGCCTTAGCTTGTTCAATCGATTCTCTTTTTGAAGAACAGAGCCACATATTCAAGGAATCTTTATACTTCTCAAGCTCAGGTTTTGTTTCCGTGGGCACACCATTTTTATCCTTTCCTTCTTTCTTCAGAAGCCATTTATAGAGAGCTTCCTTCTCACAATTTTCATCACATACACACTCTGCAAAGCTTGTACATGGCTCATTGGCTTTGCATACCTCTTCTACTTTACATGGATCCTGCTGGTTCTGGATAAGCCAAACCTCAGTAATCATGCTGGGGTTGGAGAAGGGTTTCTTAGCTTCCAAGTGGTCATTCAGACACTTCAGGTTGCCCAGGTTTTCAATCTCCACACCTTTAGGCAGACTGCCCTGACAATGAGTACAGGAATCAGGCTTAGCAAGCCAATCATTCACATTATAGGACTCCTGAAATACCTGGAACAAGGACTTAAACTTCTCACTGGTTTCACAGCTGCTACTTCCAAGCTTCTCCAGTTTAGGTAATTCCTGTGGAGTTATGAGCCAATCAGAAAGGTCCATTTCATCTTGATCAAGAAGCTCTGAATCGCCAGTCTCTTCCATTTCACAGGAGTAAGAACTAGTAGTAGAACAGATGTTAGGCTTTTGGTAATTTGGCTTTTCAGGAGCATCTTGCTGGGTCTTGAGGAGCCAATTTTCCAAGCCCTTTAGGTTACCCCAAACATTACTGAAGAAGCTGCAGGCTCTGGCAGGCGTCTACAAAAGAGGTACGTTATTAGTTCATTAGACCGTTTTGAATAATACGGCAATTCAATGATAAGAGATCAATCTGCATAATTTCCTGCACTGCTCAGTACTTGTAAATCTAGATATACAAAACCAAGAGACAGGAATCTCTTGAGATACCAAAATAAATATTTGGCTACCTAGAAAGTTTTAATTTCTGCAAAAATATTAAAGGTAAATTTAGGAGACAGCATTTGTAGCATATCTTGATAGGAGGGGGAAAAAAAGATTAGAAGGATTCCAGAGAGATGGTACAGCAGGTGGGGAGCTTGGTTTTTACACACCCAACCCAGATTAGATTGGCATCTTATATGGTCCTTTAAAGCACTGCCAGGAGTAATTCCTGAGTACAGAGCTAAGAGTAACACCTAAGCATCAAAAGGAAAAATGGTTAATAGTATGCTATGGATAAAGATAAAAAGCAAAGGATATAATCAGGCTAGTTGTTAAGCTAATAAAAATGAAAAATGCTCAATCTGAGAAATCAAACTCAAAACAAGCAAAACTTAACACCTGTAAATGACTCTCACTGGCTACAAAGAGAAATTTTAGGGAAGCTGGTACTCTAAATACTTTACCAGTGGGAATAAATATTGGTATCAACTTCCTGGAAATCAAAGTTGGCAATACATATCAAAAATCTTAAGAGGGATAAGCTATAAAATCTAGTCATTTATTCCTGAAGAACTAACCAAGAATGTGCCTAGATAAATAGCTCTTGAGTGCTTATAGCTTTGTTTGTTTTCAGAAAAACTGTAGCTTTAACAGAGACAAGCATATTTCTGGCCCTAAAAGTAATTTCTTCAATTCTGCAAAATCAAATAAAAAAATATAATAATGGAGTTATAGTCAATACAATATAGTAAAGATTCTATAGAAAAACTAGGTGACAGAAACATCTGTGCTCTACTAACAACTTGCTAGAAAAAAACAGGATTTGCAAAAGTAGTATATGTAGACAGAGAAATGAGGTGTGTTTGTAGATGTTATAGTGGTTGTCTACATTTAGTGGTAGTTGTGTGTGTGTGTGTGTGTGTGTGTGTGTGTGTGTGTGTGTGTGTATCACTGTCCCTGTCCTCCCGTTGTTCATTGATTTTCTCTAGCGGGCACAGTAACCAACATGGCCGACCCAAGTTCGATTCCTCCGCCCCTCTCGGAGAGCCCGGCAAACTACCGAGAGTATCTCGCCCGCACGGCAAAGCCTGGCAAGCTCCCCGTGACATATTCGATATGCCAAACATAGTAACAACAAAGTCTCACAATGGAGACGTTACTGGGCCCTCTCGAGAAATACATATATATAGTTCTTTGTTTTTGAAATTTTCTACACTAAAGATACCACCTTTGTGATACTTACTAAAACTTTTCAGATTAGTTCAAAAAACTAAAACACGGTCACGGTCCTCCCATTGTTCATCGATTTGCTCGAGCGGGCCCAGTAACGTCTCTATCATGAGACTTGTTGTTACTGTGTTTGGCATATCGAATACGTCACGGGGAGCTTGCCAGACTCTGCCGTGCGGGCGAAATACTCTCAGTAGCTTGCGGGGCTCACCGAGAGGGGCGGAGGAATCGAACTCGAGTCGGCCATGTTGGCTGCGTGCAAGGCAAACGCCCTACCGCTGTACTATCAAAACACTGTCATAAATAAGCTATTAAATATGTTTCCAGACTAGAACTAAAATTTCAGTAACTACATCTACCTCAGGAACAATAAAGACAGCAACATACCTGAATGTTCTCCAAGCTTGGCTTTTGGGTAAGCCAGTCCTGGAGGTTGGTGCTGGGCATGTAAGGAGCCTGACGACCACTGGCAGGTTTACTTCCAAGGAGCCAATCATTGAGAGGAACCACTGTGGTGCTGGATGCTGACTTCTGCAAATTATACAATACTTGTCAAATGTGATAGAGAGCTGAATGAAACTCACATCACTCAAGTGTTCTAATTTGGATTACCACTAATCATGAACAAATCATAACTCCCCCTAAGCCTCCATCTTCAGAACTATAAAGCAGAGCATATAGTTATTCTCCAGGATTCTTCTCAACTCAGAATATCTATATTCATGTTGCCTTTAGAAGCAAATTATCTCTAGGAATTATAAAGAGTGATCTCCAAAAAAAACCTAAACCAGAGAACAATAATCTCTTAGGAGCAATTTCTCTCTTGCTCTTTTATTCTATAAACCTTTATTTCTGACATTCAATCTCAAGGGTAGTATTTAATAGTGTGAACTCACTTAGCACAGGTGCCCTTTACAAACAAATCATAGTGAAAAAGATGTGATTCAGTCAAAAGAAATGTATCAAGTAATAATTTCATTACCAAAAACAAGATGACACTTTACCTGGTCTGGCAAAGGACTATAGCTTCTTTTCTCCAAGAAGGGCCCAATATTTGATGAGCTAGCATGAGCCATCAGGTGCTCAGGAATTTGCTTAAATTAAAGGCAAATTACATGTTAATGATGTTACTCTTTCATACCAAAAAAAGTGAAAATTATTACTCCTAAATTTTTCAGAAGTATTATGCAATATATTATCATTTCACTAGAACAAATAATCTTTACACTAAATTCAAAGACCTAATAGAAAATCTAGAATTCAACCACTGGTCCCTAGATCCATCAGTTCATCAATGTAAAAGATTAATGCTCTATTAATTTAATCAGAACATTAAATTTCTGAAGTTTATGCAATTCTTCAGTAAACAATTAATTCTTGAGAAAAAAAATCTTAAAAAATATATAGTGATGTTTCTTTTTTTTTTCTGGCACCGTGATTTATAATATTGATGCTGGCAGGATTTCATGCATCAAACTTTCCAACACCACACCCCCCATAAGAAAAAATGTCAACTTCCCTCTATCACAGTCCCAGTGCCAGTGCCCTCCACCACCCCTACCCATCCTATTCTCCCCTGCATTCCCCTCATAGTAAGATGCTTCCTGCTAAAGATCAATTCTCAGTTTCTGTTACCTTTGAGTATTTGTTGTTTCTTTACTATGTTTCTTTCTATACCATATCACTCTTTATCTATCCCTCTCCTAACTTCACTCAGCTTGATACTCTCTGGATCCATCCATGTGGCAGAAATAGTATGATTTCATCTTTCCTTATAGCTAATTATTCCATTATGTATATGTAACAGTCTCTTTACCTAGTTATCTGGACTTGGATACTTAGTATCCAGATTTTGGCTATTGCTAATAGTGCTACAATGAACCAGTGTTCTTCAAACCTTTTACATCAGTGGATTGGCTACTGAAGACCACTGTCCTAGGCCATCTAAAACAACACAGGTGTGATGTTTTAGGTGTGTATAGGTACAGATGTGTATTAAGAATCATTTGATGTCAGCTTTACTCACAATGGTTTTGAGTGACCCAAATGTGGTGATGGCCTGGCGCAGAGTAGTTGTATCTGCTTCAAAAAGCAGAACAGTTGAATCTTCAGGCTTAAGAGTCAAATTACCCATTCTAGGGAGAAAAAAATGAGTAAAATTGAGTAAAATTTGGTTACTTATAAGGAATGTCTGTTTCAGATTCATCCAAAACAAAAGTCAAATATGGGAGGAATTTAAAATGTACTTTTCTAAAAAAAAGAAACAATGAATTAACTATGCATTGTTTATTAAATATATAAAGCAATGATTTTATCCTAATACAGATGTTAAATCTAATTTATGCAAAGAATTAAAAACCTGATTTGTTTTGATTTTGGGTCACATCAGTGATGCTAAGGAGATCATGCATTGCTGCTGGGCGGCTAAGATCATGCAAATCCAGGCGGCTGGATACAAAGCATAGGCACTAGTCCTTTGGCCTCTCTCCCCAGCTATCATTTTTTTTCCTGAGGACATTTAAGTCAAAGAAGCACAAATTGCCTGAGCACATGTGCTTCCTAGGCACATGTTGCCTACAAATGTCACCCACATATCCCCTCTTGAGATGTATACTTTCATACTTTCCTACTTTAATGCTGGTGTGTACCAGCTCTCTCTCCACTCTAGAGAAGCCCATGTTCTCTCTTAAGCATACATCTTATTTCTCTCTCATTTCCCTTTATTTCCCAATAAACTTGTTGTACTTCAAAGCCAAAATATATTTAAGTCAATAGTCAAAACAACCAAGAAAGTTGTTACCTTTCCAGGCACACAGAGACTTGATTGGCTAGATCTTTGTTTTGGGTGCACTCCAGTTGATGAATTAGACAATTAAACTGTCCCAATAACTAAAAGAAAAATAAAGCCATTTAACACAACCATACTATAAATATCAGTGTACCCAATTCTGACAAAAGAGTTGACTTCTATTTGATCTCTATTAATGCTGAATTAAAGGAAAGATATTCCCTGAAAACCCAAAACCCTACTCTTAGATTTACAGCCTTTCAGTCCCCTTACCCAGTAGAGCTGCTGAGCCTGCTGCTGAAGTGTCTCCTCTTTAAGCTGATAGATTAGATCTACTTGTTCATACAGCCACACCTCACGGCTTCTAAGGCATTCCAGATGACGACTAATGCAACTGTGAATCTGAGCTTTGACCTAGGAAACAAATACATGCTTCACTAGTGTTATAAACTTAATGAATATCGTCTCCTACAGAAGAATAAGGTTTTTAAACTTCTGAAGTTCACTATTTTTTTTATTGTTGTTATATCCAAAGACATCTATAGAGTATCTTTCCAGGGCTCGGTGGGCAGAAGGTGGGGGCAGATAAGTGTGTGTGTATGGGGGGGGGGGGGGGGTAGTGTTCCAAAGCCCATCCATGAAATCACAAAAAAATTCAATTGACCCAGTATAAGAATTATATCATAAAGGTCCATCAAAGTTCTAAAATACTCCCTCAATACCTAAGAGCATTTGTGATTTGTGGTATACTAAAGTAATCAAGAAAACATATAAAAATGTGTCTATTAAATTGATTTTCTTGTTGGAAGTAGATTAAGACAGTGTATTTTGCAAATTATTTTTGGGGGGTTGGGGGAGTTGACAACAACTAGCAATGTTCAAAGCTTACCCCCATACCCCCAAACATTTTTTCTATAATAAAGTTGTAGTTCAAAGTTATGAAGTACTTGGCCTATCAACTCACCAACATAGTACTATTAGACCAAAGGAAAACAAACTTCAGTCTGGCTTAATATTAACAGATAAAGTAGAAGCATGCCACCCAAATTAAAAGGTGGCAAGAGACATGCTGAAATATCCTGTATGCAACAAGAGGACCACATGTGGTGCCTAGCAGAGGGACCAAACAGCGCAACAATGAAAAATGCACACTGAGGGCCAGGATATAGCTCAGCAGGAGGAAAACTTCTGCCTTGCATATATAGGAGAGGCTTGGGTCCAATCCCCAGCACCAGAGAAATAAATAAAATACAGACTGATGTGGGTTTTCTAAAGTAGTGTAAGGTTTTCACACTCTCCCCTTTGGAATCAATGGTACCAATATTTCAAGCAAATATAAGAAATAAAAGGTGAAATTTTTTGACTGGCACTGAGAAGCCAATCTCTAGGCCATGCTCTTAACCAATCTGTGCTAAAAATCCAGATAACAACAAAAAAAAAAACACATTATCACACCTCTCGCAAATTATCTTTAATTTGTTGTTCAGCTCGAAGAACTCCACCAATAGCAAGTTCCAAGTCCCTCCGTGCATCACAACACCTCGAAAGGGGTTCTCTATTAGTGGAGCAGCCACTCTGGTCCTGTGAAGTACTCATTTTGTTCTCTGTTCCTTTAAAAGAAAAAAGTTTTAAGAACATGAGTGTAAGTTGCTAATTACAGTACAAATAAAGTCACGGTGACACATGCTTTTATTTTATAGATTTAGAGCTAAAAGCTAAAAGATTTATAAGAGCCCATAATTACTTTGAAAAAAATGTCCATACCAATAATTTGATTATAACACTTGGAACATTGTTTAGATATGGTATGTTTCTCAATTTATGAATGAAATTTTTTATACTTTTGTTGGGTGGATTTTTTAAAATTTAGAAGAGCTTAGGGCTGAAGTCATAGCAAGGAAACTTCCAAAATATAAATCTATCTAAAATACTTCACAAAATTCCGATAAAAGGATTTGATATAGATAAAAAATTAATAAGCTCCAGTTTATGAGAAATTAAGAAATCAAAGTAGAAAAGAATAGCATATAACCAATGATATATTGAGACTGGGAACAGAAGAAAGAAGAACAAAGTGAAGCCTGGCTAAGTCTTTGAAGAACAGTTTGGTGTTTATTCTATGCAGATTCTAGAATCAGTGATGTTTCTAAATACTTAGAAAAAGCCAAATCACTGTAGCCCAGCAGAGGTTCACTAAATTCTGTAACACCAAAGTTATTTTCTTCTTAGAGGTTTTATATAAAACTAGCCAGTCAATATAATGCTGTAAACACCTATCTGCATGATAGTAACAAGACTGTAAGTGATGTGGATTAAACAGAAGAATAACCTAAGTAAACCATAAAGTTATTTTTTATAAAGTACTTCAAATATGACTTGAAGCAAGTTTGTTCTTTATAGTGGCATGTTTCTTTTCCCCAATTAATTACTTAAGTGTTTTCCCAAATTACTGGGATAAAAAATTAAGGCAACTACAACTGGAGATAATATGAGGCTATGATAGAAACATTACCTTACAATCTTTATGTAACTCTTAAATTTTATAAAATAAATTCATTGTGGGGATGGGGTAGAGTTAGGTTACACCCGACTGAGCTCAGGATCTCTGTGCCACTCTGTACTGATTGTGTGAAGGTATCACTCTGGTGGGGAGGCAGGGATCATGTGGTGCCTGAGGATCCAACCAGGGTTGGATGTATGTAAAGCAAGTGCCTTACTCACTGTATTAGCTCTCTCTCTAGTCCCTAAAGTCCAGTCTTTTAAATCTGGACAGGAAAGGACAAGATGGAATAGTGTTTTTAAAAAATGGAGACAGAAGAATTAGAATTGTTTAAAATAAACCAATATTGCGGAGAAATAACACAGAGGGTAGGGCGTTTGCCTTGCAAGCGGCTGACCCAGGTTTGATCCCCGGCATCCCATATGGTCCCCCAAGTACCGCCAGGAGTAATTCCTGAGCGCAGAGACAGGAGTGACCCCTGAGCATCGCTGGGTGTGACCCAAAAAGGCAAAAATTAATTAAATAAGCCAAGGAAGGTAGGAAATTAATATAAGACATCTAAAGTAATGAATCAGTTCCCTAACAGTCCTAAAGGCAGTGACCTCAGACAAGTCAGCTTTTAGCTGAACAGCAGCTTAAGGTGTAGATTCCTCCATAACTGTACCTTAAGACTTTGACTGGTCTTGATTACATCTTCCAGCTAAGTTTACTTTAGGACCATGTAGCTAACAAAAAGCTGGAAAGAGACAAAAGCACTATGTGTTCCACTATCAGAAATAAAACAATGAAAGGAAACCCTATAGGCTTTATTTTGTCCATCTAAGCAAAAGATTCACATTCAGGAACTACCAAGTTCCTCTAAGAAACTGAAAAGATTCAGAAAACATTCTAACTTCCCCTTGTTATTTTGTTAAAAGTCCATTTTGCTCAAATATCCCTCAGATTTAAGTTTGCAGTTGTCTACTTTATTTCTCAAGCAGTTTCTGGAATCTCATCAGGATATCTACTATCAAAAATAACAATAAAACAATGTCTAAATCAAAATACCTTTTATAAAATACTAATGGGCTAGAGAGATAGTAGGGTAGGTAAGGGATAAGAAGGGTAGGGTATGATACACTGAGCACAAAGACAAGAGAAAGACCTGAGCACGACAGAGTGTTCCATCCCCCCAAAAAGTTGTTTTTTAAAAAAAAACTTAGCTATGAATAATGAAAGTTATGGTTGAAGTTTCTGTCTAGATAAAAGGAATTCTCAGTCTATTAAAATAGTCTATTGTAAACTTTAACCTCAGGTCAGAGAGATAGTACAGTAAAAGCATACGCCTAGTATGTAGACACATTCCGTTTCTCACTGGCACCACAATCTCCCATGCATCAAAGAATGCAGAGAGCCAGAAGCACTGTCTGGTAGCCTGGGTATCCCTGGCACTACAAGTCCCAGAAGGTACCATACCCTTGGAGACTTGTACTGAACCAACCAGATTGGCTGAAAAATTCCAAGGAGGGGCCCCAGAAGCTCCTGAACACCCTTTGAGGCCTCAGAGGTCTCTCCCCCATACCCACCCTTGTAATAATAATGAAAGAACTTAAGTCCCTCATGTGGCCCAGTAAAAGAGTTAGGTAAAGGTAAAGGTAAAGGCCCTCCCGTTGATCATCGATTTGCTCGAGCGGGCCCAGTAACGTCTCCATTGGAGACTTTGTTGTTACTGTGTCTGGCATATCGAATACTCTCGGTAGCTTGCTGGGCTCTCCGAGAGGGGCGGAGGAATCGAACTCGGGTCGGCCATGTTGGCCGCTTGTAAGGCGAACACCCTACCCGTTGTGCTATTGCTCCAGCCCAGAGGGGGACGGGAGCGCCTCGTGAGTAAAAGAGTTACAATGTAGTAAACACAGCAAAACTTAGATGGCCATTAATTGCACTCCCTCACCTGAATTCCTATGGAATTATAGTTGCTGAGAGTATTTCATTCATCAGCCCAGCTTTAGTTGCTATTGTAACCATGTGATTAATAAAATACGGCATAAATATAAAATGAATGAAAGGGGAAAGTTACAAAATTCTAGTAATTTGCACTGAGATTCCTTTGTAGGTAAACTTTGTCTTTGGGGGCCATACCCTGTGGTGCTCAGGCCTTACTCCAGGCTCTGAGCTCACTTCTGACTGGTTCAGGAAACATATCGGGCACCAAAGATCCAACCTGGATCATCCACATGCAAGGCAAGAGCCTTAAGCACTGTACTATGTCTCTGGCCCCTTACAAGTAACTTTATATTCCCATGAGGATTATTTGAGTTATCATAAAAATTCTTTGCTAAAGGGGAGAAATTTATAAAGCGTTTTTCCTCTCTTCAGTTTCAAGATTTCTATGCTGTGTCCAAACAAGAAAATAATCTACGATCAGTATACCATCTCAACTATAGAAATCATACAACTACATCTCTTCAATGGCTCCCCACTTGCCTAATGGATAAAGTCCAACTTTTTGGGTGGGGACATGGTATTTGGATCACATCCAGGAATTCTAAGAGATCATTTCTGGTACCCTGGTGCCAGTATCAAAATGCAGCTGGCTGCATGCAAGGCAAGAGCCTTGGGGCTGGAGAGAGAGTAAATGAATAGGGTGCTTGCCTTGCACACAGCCAGCCCACATTCAATCCCTGGCATTCCATATGGTCCCCCCAGCTCCGCTAGGAGTATTTTCTAGGTGTAGAACCAGGGCTAACCCCTGAGCATCACTAGGTGTGGCCCCAAAAGCAAAAACAAAAGGCAAGAACCTTATTCCCTGTACTACCTCTCTGAACCCCAATTTTTTGGGGGGGAACTTTGTTTTTCCACCACACTGAGCTGTACTGGATAAGTGCTTAGCAATGACACATGGTGTGCTCAGAACCGTGTGTGGTACCTAGGATTTGAAGTAAGGTTAGCTGCATGCAAGGCAATGATCACAAATGTCTTATTAAAGCAATAAAGTGCACTATTTTTTTTGCTGTAGACTGCTGCTTAGACTGCCTCTCCCACTGTGTTTCAGGAGCAGCCTCCACACTCCACACCATTACCTGTGAGCCAAGCTGTTCAGGAATACTTACTCAATTTGTTTCTCCTCTCTAGCAATGCCAGATTCTTCCTCTTTCCAAACCAGTTCATTTTCTGACTGCCCAAATCAGGAGTCATTGCACCTACAAAGCCTTTCCTACCCAAGTACCCAATTACAGCTTTCTCCAATAAAGTTTGTTGCCTCCTCTGTGCCCACTGTAATGCATAGAAGTTCCACCACTCTGAGCTGGGTAATGTGTTACATTTTTTGTAACTTGCGTAACTTTTAGTCTGAGAACTCACAAAAAGAAGAGTCTTGTTTGACTTTGTACACTAACACTGAACAGACAGCTTGTTAGCTAGACTGTGTTACCAATCCCCCTCAATTCTCCGTGTTCTGCAGAACCAAAGAAAATGGTTTTCCAACTGGAGGGGTGCAGGCCAGTCTCTCCGCCCTCTCAACAGAATCCCAGCAGTCAAAAACCTCCAGAACCCAATCGCTGCCAGGCTCACTGCCAGTCCCCATAGGCTCGTGGAGCCCCTCAAGCACAAGAATGAATCAGCTGAAAACCTGTTTTGCGGCTTTTGTGACCGCCAGGCTTCTGAGGAATCCAGAACCAGTGACCTCTAACCAAATCCCTTCCCCCCACCCCCCAGCCTGGTGGCCACGCCCACGAACCACCTCCCATCCATTTAAAGTCACTAAGGACCATGATCCAGAGACTGACTGATAAATCTTGCAAGAGAGCCACAAGTTGTAGCACCCTATCCAAAATTTCAGAATCCCTGGAGTGTGTGGCCGCTTTCCCTGTACTGTGATGTTTTATACTCCACTCCACATGAAAGTCTTGGGTGGTGGGGAGGGTAACTAAAGGTGGTGGGAAGGTATGACGGTGGTGGGATTGGCGTTGGAATACTGAATATGGTAAATTACTATAAACTATTTTTTGAAATAAAATTTTAAAAATTAGAAGAAAAAAAAGGTCTCCCTGGAGCTGTGCAATACCAAACCTGCAACACCTAACCTCAACAGGGATTAATATATACTTGATAAGTGAATGAATGAAGCAATAAAAACAGAAGCTCAAGTTCAG